CCCCCCCCCCCCCCCCGCCGGCTACGCCGCTGTTTATGATAGATAGCTATTACAATTATAATAATTGTTATATGTAGGAAGTTTTGGAAGCTACTTGAAAAAGGATCAGGATGATAGAAATTTGTCTTGTGGAGGACTCAATACATCGATTATATCATCATTGAGCGACAAGTGTAAAACAGCTAACTATGGTAGATTTTCTAAAAGAATTTCAGTACGAGTAGTACTTAATGATAATGCAAGTATTAAGTGTGATATAAAAAATGCTCCATTCCTCGAAGCTTTTGGAATAACAGTGGAGAATTCACCTACAAAATTAAAAGAATTATGTAAGAACTTTCCCTTTACTGCATTACGTTTACATGGTTGTTAGTACATTATTATAATGCGTTTATGGATGTGAATTAAATAAATATTTACAGATGAAAAGAAATTATCGATACACAATATTGGATACAACAGCAAAGACGAACTTTTTGGAGATCATTCAGCAACTGCAAAAGACATTGTTTTGCAGAGATGCTCACAGAAACATTATTTACCTTTCTCAGACTGCTTCCCAGATTCGTATGTAGATCTTGATATATATTTGTACTTCATGAAACATAATATCTAATAACATTATACAGTTACTCATTATATAGTTATTTTTTTATCGTAGATATTTAGAACATTGTCGTAAAATTGGCGAAGGTGTTTATGGAGAAGTCTTCTTGTACGAACATGATGATGAAAAATCGGTTATAAAAATTATTCCTATAGAAGGCGAAGCCGTGGTAAATGGGGAGCCACAAAAAAAATTTAGTGAAATATTATCCGAAATTGTGATTGCAGAGTGAGTATCGATTCTGCAATTTTTCTGATGAATCGCTAATGAAAATTACGCCAGTTAAGATTATGAAAATATATTTGCAGGGAATTGCATAATCTGAGATCACACTCTACATATAGGACTAGTGCGTTTGTGGAAGTTCGAAGTATCAAATGTATTATAGGTAAATATCCAAAGAAACTTGTAAAACTTTGGAACATTTACGACGACGACAAAACATCTGATAACGATTGCCCATCAATGTTTGGGGAAAATCAATTGTATATCGCTCTTGAACTCGGTCATGGAGGCAAAGATCTCGAAGCTTTTATTTTCCAAACTGCGGAAGAGGCTTATACTTTATTTTTACAGGTATTATTTACTGCCAGTGCTGCGCTGCGCGCGCTCAGAATTACTTGCACTTTCGAAACAATTTTTTAGGCCTGCACTTATTCTCTTTTTCTTATCTTTCCCGTTCATCCTTGCGATTGACTCGCAGCGTTTAGTCTCAGAACCCTCAACTTCATAACATTTGTGAGATTCTCCCTAATTTTTGGAAAGTTCTTATTGAAACTAATGCATGTTCTTTCTATACGTTATCAATATTTATATTATTATAACAATAAAACACTAATTTTGACAAGAACTTTCCAGCAATTAGGGAACACCTCACAGGTTAGTGAATTGATGGAGTTGATAGTTCTAAAGTTAAGTGTTGCGACAATTGCGAAGCTCGATAGATGAAATGAAGAGATAAGGAAAAGAAAATAGATCCTCGAAATCACCGAAAGTACAAGTAATTCCGAGCACTGGTTTATATGATTTGTCATTATATTTCATTATCTATTCATCAATGTTCAAAATTTAATTTTTTTTTAAGACTGCATTGGCATTAGCAGTCGCAGAAAAAGCATTCGAATTCGAACATAGAGACTTGCATTGGGGCAATGTATTAATATCAAGAACTAAAGAATCATACGTATATTATAACTTGAATGGAAAAGAAATAAAATTTCCTAGCAATAATGTGAAGGTACGTTCTAAGTACATTTTAATTATCATTGTTTTTTATATTTTGCTCTTTTAGTAATTTTAGTAAATCTTTTCCAAGGTATCGATTATAGATTATACTCTATCGAGAATAGCATACCAAGGATGTTGCATATACAATGATCTTGCTCTGGATCCAGCTTTATTTACTGCCCGTGGCGAATATCAATTTGAGATTTATCGTCTTATGCGCGACAAAATCCAGTAAGTTTATATTTTATATATATATATATATGTATTTTTTTATTATTTTCTACAAATTCTCACAAATTTCCTCGAATACTTGTGTAGGAATAATTGGCAGAAATTTGAACCATATACAAATGTTTTATGGTTACACTACACTTTGGATAAGATGATAACAGCGGTAAGATACAAGAAGAAAACCTTGAAAGTGCATAAACAAGCTATTAAAAAATTAAAAGTACTTAAAGAAACAATTTTAAATTATGAAAGCGTATACAACTTTGTAAATGATTCTAATAACATTACGCAATACATATCGATATAAAAAACGTTTCTGCAAGAAATCAGTAATAAATAATATATAATATGATAATAAATAAGTATACATATATAATATTTACGAGCTTTATTTTGTATCTAATTTTGGACGTTATATGTTAATAATATTAGATTTGTATTAAAGAAACTCACATTTTTATGTTAAAATATATATTTAATATTATTTATAGTTCTTTAAAAAAATTTGTCAATAAAAAATACCTGTAGCTACGTTTCTAACGACCATTTGAGAAATAGGAAATATGAAAAAAATAAATTGAAAATATATTATCATATATAGGCTATAATTTTCAACTAATACTGCTATCATGTATTTTAATATATAATTTAATTTTAACCTTGTCGGAGTAATACATTTTAATTTAACACTTACGTTCTGTAAATGTTAAAATACATTTAAAATACATCTAATATTTTAAAATACATTTTATTATAATTAATACATTTATATAAATATATAATTTTAATATATAATTTATATAAATGTATTATACATTTTTTTATAATAATATTGATTAGAATTAACTTTTTCTATATCACTCTGTCTCTTTTTCCTTTCCTCATTCTCATTATTATTATTAACACTGATATAAACCAGATACATAAATTAAATTCATAAAAATATAACTATATTAATTTTTCCTCAATTATAAGGCACTGAAACCACAAAAGGGTTTAAAGGGTTTCAAAAGGCCAATACTTTCTTGAGGTTAATTTAGATTATTTATATTTTCATGCGTTAATATAACATAACTTCTTTATTCTTTTGCGTTTCACCAAGTATCAAAACAAAATTCTGAAAATAAATATGAAAGTAATGATAAAGTTAGATAAAACACATTTAGTAATATCTTTTCGACTTTACATCTCCCCCTTATTTTGAATTGTTATTTAATACTACGAATACTAATAATTATCAATGCGAAATTTTGATCGTATTTCGTTTTTAGCCGATACGAAATTATGTCACTCTTAATTATACGTTCTGTTGTATCCATTTTAACGCGTTTCTAACATTGCCAAGCGTTACCCTGCTAAGAAAGCTTGCAATTAATTGATATTCGGGCATTGTGCGCCTTCCACAAGAACATATTGAATGCGTTTGTTTATATATATTGTTGCCACTGATATCACGTTTTGTACTGCTAGGCAACCCGTATGATGGAGACAAATCTGTGCTCTGCCCTTCACAAAGAATCTTTGTAGTTAAGCACAAAAGCCATTGCATAATCTGCCACACACGAAAAAAATATAATTTAACAATTTATTTGAAGTTTTTTTTAAGGCTCCTGGCCCCTCACATTGTCTATCTCTTCTTAATGATATCAAAAGCGAGAAAATGCATGCTAAAAATTCTTGCAAAATATGTTAAAATAAAAATATATATCCATAAAGAAACACAATTGATTAAAAAAATTTGTAAGATATTCCGTACACTCCCCTTTTGCTCTAACAATCAATAATTTGTCGTAAATTAACGTGACATACAATTCATCTTCTTAATCTATTTCTTCGCCTATTTCTATTCAGATTAATTTATAATAAATTATTGATTGTTAAAGCAAAAGGGGAGTGCACGGAATATCTTACAAATTTGTTTAATCGATTACAAGTGTTACTTTATGGATATATACTTTTATTTCAATTTCGCAAAAATTTTTAGCATGCATTTTTTCGCTTCTGACGTCATTAAAAAGAGATAATGCGAAGGACCAGGAGCCTTAATATATCAATGTTATATTCTCATTGGTTACATTACCTCGTTGCTAGATGGTAATTGGCCCATGTTTTTCAACCATAAGCTAGGTGCCCACAGATATATCTGCATTATAGTCGCCGCAATTTGCGTATCTAGTCGCTGCACGTATTAAATAAAAACAGATATTTTAATATCTTTTAATTTTAAGAATATAGTTTTAACCGTTTATGGATATTTCTGAGATTTTTTTTTTACAAACCTTATATAAACTTTCCGACAATGCATTTTTTATAACAGCGTTAATGATGGGTGGCACATTATCAGGTAGTGTAGGAAGTTCACTTTCAGTATAACTATAATTTTTTAAAGCAATTTCTTCGTCATTTTCACTATGGAATGGATTTTTTGTGCCAAATATCTCGTATGCTATGGTGCCCACTGTCCATAGATCAGCTTTTGTGTAATTTATTCTAGCAAAAGGTCCTGGTACTGCCATTATTACTTCTGGAGCCATTAATGCAACATTGCCGCCCTTATCGATATCGTGAGTGTTGTAAGGTAAGTACAATCCACAATTCTTATCGGCCAAACAGCAACCAAAATCCGTTACAACCAGGGACGGACAATTATCAGTTTCTTCTGACAAATCAAGTAAAATATTGTCACTTTTCAGATCTCTGTTTTATAAACATCAGAAAAAAATATAATTAGTATTATTGTATGCATAGTAAGTTGTAAACTGGTTTAAACATAATGAGGTTCGGAGCTCAACTAAACTATTAAAATTGAAAGTCATCGTTGACGGGTTTGTCTAATAATTATATTAATAATTGTTATGAAAATTATATTAACAATTGTTATTAATGTCAATAATATTGGTAATAATTACTAACATTATTATAATTAATAACAATAATTATTTATTATTAAGTTAATCAGGGT